ATAAGAAACGTTTTTTTCACCTGTTTTAATCCACATTGTTTGGGTGCATAATTTTCATAACTTTTTTGGAAGGTTGTTAGGCAGAAGTGAAGGTAAATGATAGTGATTTTTATTAAATTAACTGATATTGTTTTGTATAATCGAAACTTCAATATAAAAGCAGAAAATATGAATTTTTCGGGTGAAGAAGGAGATAATATCGGGTCTGATATATAAGTTATTCTTATCAGTGGGTCAAAAGTCAAAAATTGCATTGGATGCCACTGTTTGCTCTTTGGGTCGCTTACCAATTAAAAAAGACGTCTATTAATTCAGTTATTCAAAAATAACAGTTTTTACCCCTAAACTTTGAGTTCTATTTATTTTAGGCTAAACTAAAGGAAATAAAAATTACAAATCCAGTCCCTGAGTTTTAAAACTTGTTGATTAATTAGAATTGTATAAACCAATATACTTCGAGTTTAGCCCTTGTTATTTTCATTTTTTTAGTTAAAATTATTTTTGGATAATAACGAAAGTGTCGTCAAATATTTTACCATTGGGTTTTTATTAGTTTAGAATACTATTTCTAAAAGGAAATAACAATTATTCAAAAGGTTGTTACAAAAAAACGTAATTATTGTTTATAACTAATATTTGGTTAGATGAGACATATGGACGGTTGAACAAAAGTGATCGTAAAGAGTGTTTTCTGGAAGTGAGCCTTAGAATGTATGTTGGTTAAATGTAAGGTGCGTGTAGCGTGGCAAACCTTGGTTAAGACCTAACGCTATTAATGTGAGTTTCGTGTGAATTTTGTGGTTGCTTGCATGAAATATTGATTCTGTTTTATTTGCAATTACATGTTACCGCTGTTATTGCTATGAATATTTGTATGAATTTTTATGTGGAAGGGTAAAAAGGGTGGGTGACATGTATATAGGGAACATGTGTATTAACTACACGGTCTTATTATTAGTCGTCGTACAGGGTATCGGTACGCGGCGGAGAGCTTATGCTTTGATTAATTAGCTGTAAGCATATTTGTTGTGCCCGACGGATGGATGTGTTCCCTAAAAATGACAGTAGTTTCTTAATGTGTCACCAAGGGTTGAAAGAAATGAAAAAAATTATTTTTGATAATTTGTTGCATTATTTTTATTTTATCGACGTCAATATGTATAAAAACCACAAACTCAGTAGGCCCTAGGCTTACCCATTAGAATCTTTAAATGCACGCAACCCAGGAAATAACATAGCGAGTGGTAGCGGGAATGGAAATGATAAAGCTCAGTTGAAGAGGACGTAATGCGCCAAGTGTTTATTTAAATTTCTATTCGTTTCCGCAGTTATTATTAATAATGACATTAGTATTTGAATATTTGAATTTTAGATGTTTTGAAACTATGTTAAATTAATATTTGTATTTGAAAATTGAGACGTTACACCTAAAGTTAGGTGGTAAAAGTTAGTTGTTTTAATTGTGTAAGAAAACATTAATAATCTTATTGTGCACTTAAATTGCTTGTCTTGACCATAAAAAAGTAATTGTTAAATCTTATCATTCATAGTCCAATAAAAATCTTAAAATCAATTTGTTGTTCTCAGGTTACTTGACCATGGTAATTGAAGTTCATGAGTTGATATGTGCTAGGTATTAGGATCATGATAACTAGTAATTCATAAATTGGTAACCAATGGAATAAACCATAGAAAAATGGGAGATTCTAAATTAAACGGATTTTATACCTGATTAAAAATCGTATTCTAGGTGTTTGCTTTTGTTTTTACTTAAGTGCTAAATTTAAGTTTTTCGAAACTCGTAAAATCAGATAAAACACCCTTTAAAGTTATTTCTTTAGTTTAATTATTAGCATTTAGTTTTTAGTTTAATTATTCTACTATAATATTATGTGATTAGGTACACCGTCTATTGTGTTTTAACTGGTAAAATTAGTTAGGGTTATAAATTTAAGGTTTAGTGAGTTTAAAGCACGTAAATGTATAACCTCATGCCTTGATCGCGATGAACATTTATATATGAATGATTGAATGAAGCACCACAAATGTGCAAAATTTATTTATCTCATAAGCCTGGAAATTGTTGCTTGGTGGAGACGTTGAAATTATCTTAAATTAATCACACAAATGAAAAACCAAATATTCTTGTGAATGTGTAGCGAGGATTTTATATCACAAAAGGAGCCTACATGTTTTATCGTAAGTTTGTAAATACTATTTAGTGTGGTTTGTGGTTCCTCTGCTCCGCTATTAAAAAATAAATTTATTGGATGATAATATACTTTCGTTTTATTAGAAATTGTTGTTTGGTGGAGACGTTGAAATTATCTTAAATTAATCACACAAAACCAAATATTTTTGTGAATGTAAAGCGAAGATTTTATATGACAAAAGGAGCCTCCATGCTTTGTATATACTATTTAGTGTGGCGTGTGGTTCCTTTGCTCCGCTATTAAAAAATAAATTTATTGGATGATAATATACTTTCGTTTTATATGATACTTTTCCGAAATAAAAATAAAGTAATAAAAGATATTATTGTGTAACTTAAAATAACTGATTTGATTAGTATCAAAATAAATGTTTATGAGTATTTTACCTTTTAGTTTTTAACAAAACCTTCGATTTAAACTTTTTTTTTTTGCAGTATTAATTTTTAGCTTTTAGATAAAAAAAAACTTTACAAATCTAAAAAATCTACTTCATCTAACGTTAAGAAAAAACTATTGAGTTTTAAAATAAGTTTTCATATGTCTTTAAAAATATATCTATATATTTATCTTTTTTAAACTATTATCATTTATGTAATTTTATATATTTCAAAATATTTCAATTATTTTTATCAAATATTCATATAATAAATCATAATTCTAATAAATAAGTACAACTCTGCCACGTGTCACTCTCTAAGGACCCCCAAAATCGAGTTTTCCTACTCATTTATTCATCTATATTTACGTAAATATCATTCAATCCAAATTAAATCAAACTTCAAACTGATGCAAAAAATCCGGAAATTTGAGCAGTCAACTGCATTCAAAATATTCAATCATTAATTTTAAATGAATAAAAATTATGGAAATAATTTGAAAAAATATGTTAATCAAAAATCAGATTCGAAATTCACGATTAAATTTGAAAGTTTGTTTCTTTTGATTGCAAATTAAATATATTGCAATCATTAAATCCCTAAAAATCTACAGTATTCTTCTCAGCAAACCTAAATACCATTTATACGGTTATTTTGTTTTTACCATTCTGCTCCATAACAATTATGCTCCATAGAAACCACAACAAACGTATTCTTCTTCATTCTTCTTGATTCTACAACGCTTCAATAATTAAATCAGGTTAGTGTATTCAAATATCAGAATTACAAATATTTGTATTCCTTTCATGGTCTTATTTATTGGTATCTATCACATTTCTGATTGTATGATTGGTATTCTTCTTCTTCTTTTTTGTAGTTCTTCTTAATCGTCTACTTCTTCTACCTTTTCAGTTTAAAAGACGAAAAACTAATGAACATGACAAGTTCATTTTCTTTAAAAGAATAAAAAATAGTCGTTTTCAGATCTGAAACTTTACTATTACATTTTTTTTGTTTTAGTGTTACATTTACTTTGATTTGCTGTTATATTAAATCTAATTTATGATGTCAATTATTTTTACTTTATCTATTTACGTATTAATGTAGATGTATACGAAAAAACTAATGAACATAAGAACTATTTTTTCTTTAACATGATTGTTGTGATCCAGCTTCAAGTTCATTACTACAAATTAGTGAATTAACCCATAATTCTGACATGATATGCCAAACCATTGAAGTTGACCTACAAAGTTATTAAAATTCTAAATGGTCAGTCTTGCACAGTAACTTTTGTTTTGATGGTATGAAATTTTAAAATTTGTTTGTATTTATCTAAATACAATCTCAATAAAATGATTAATAATAGCATACAAGTTACCCTCCGTATAAACCACGGTCTGTAAGAAATCTACTCATTTGGTTTACACATTAAAAAATATATATTACTTACTTTAAGAAAAAATTATTAGGTGCTGATTTATAATTTTTCTGTTTTAATTGTTAGTTAGGATGCTCTTTACGTTAGTATCTTTTTTTTAGTTTTGCTGTTTCATTTAATTTAATTTGCAGTTACTGTAATCCTAATTGATAAGCCAAGTTGATTCATTGTTATGTTATCTATTAGTATGTTGCAGGGGCATTGTCGGTATAATTATCGTTTTCATGTTAATTTTATATTTGTGTTCCATCTTATTATAAAAACTTTTATTCAATCTAAAACATTATTTCATATGAATTATTTGTTTTTGTTTGTATTCCATTTTATTATAAAATGATTTGTTGAATTTAAAAAATTATGAGTATATTCAATTATTTGTTATTGTCATGTGTTGATTTATAATTTTTCTGTTTTACTTATTGGTTAGGATGTTCTGTACATTCTAAAAGGTTGCTAATTTTCCTTACAATTCTATATGGTTTAAATTTTCTTGCAGAAAATGAATATAGGAAATAAGGTTTACCTGAATAACATTGACCAGAAAATGAAAAAGGTTGCAAATTTTCCCAAAGCCAATCATTCGTATACCAACCTTGAGGGAATTTCAGAAACTATGGTTGTCGAGTGTACAAATGCACAATGCAAAAAATCTGAATTTCAGACAGTTATAAAGTAAACACATATTTATTTCTATTAATTTTGTCAATCTGTAAAACAACACTAACAATGACATAATTTTTTTGTTTTAGGTATATAATTTCAATCAACGTACAAGATTGTACTGGAACCATTGGATTGACTCTTTTTGATAGGAAAGCAAAGAAGTTGTTAAATATAAGTGCATACGAGTTGAAAAGATACATGATGCGCTATATTATTCATACCTTAAAATTAGAAAACATTTACTTTTTTTTTTTTAATTTATTAAAATATATCTTACAGGCCAGAGACAGTGATTCACTATTTCCAATGCAACTTAATGTGTTGAAAAACCGCAAGTTTGGTTTTGTTGTAGATATTACAGAATACAATGTCAACAACTATAATAACATCTACATAATTCTTAGAGTTACAGAAGATATGTCCATTGTTTCTGAATTGGAAAGTAAAATAGAACTTATGGTATGTAACCTTTTATTGTTGAAAATTTACAATTCTTTACTGTTAAAATACATAAAGATTAACATATTTCCATTTTATTTTTTAGAGTATTCAATCTTTCTCCTTAAATCAAGTTGCTTTGGAATCAGATGATGTTGTACAACCTGATCAAAAGGTTTTTGAATTCCCTTTTATAAACTTTTATTTAGATTAGTTTTTATTTGGAATTAAACACTTATTATTATTTTTTAAATTAGGATGTGATCTCACAAACAGATGAAAGTTTTACACCCTCTACAGTTGATAAGTCAACCGCAACAAGTCCAAGCAAAATATCACGTGATTTGAAGCGCAACCTCCAAGAAATTTATGATGTTGATTCTGGAGATGTTTTAAGTTCAACTAAGGCTAAAAGAAAGTCAACCGGAGAGGAAACTCCACTCTTAATTCCAAAAATGGAAAAGTGAGTTGTTATTGGTTATAACACACATTTAATATATTTTGATCATTTGTTTTGGTTTTAAAGATATTTTGATTGGTTGGTATGATTTTTATTTTGAGATATTTACGATGTGAAATATTATTGGTTTTGAATATTTTTGGATATTTTTATTGTTTTAAAGTGGACAAGTTAGTTGATTTTGGTTTTAACTCAAATTAAATATATTTTGAAGTTTATTAGCTTGTAAATATATTTTGAATTTTATCTTAATATTTAAAAATTTTGGCCGATAGATCCTATGGGGTTATTATTGTTCAAATGTTACATCTCATCCAGGTCGTTAATTAGTATAAGGTTTTTATGATTTTTTGGCTACCCCTTTTAGTTAAAAAGTATAATGCCTTTGTTGTCTCTTCCTTTAAGCATAATGCTATTGTTGATTCTCCCCTTTGAAGTGTATTGCTATTCATATCTACAGGTGTAGTAGTATGTTTTATTTTAATATTTAATTTTTGTTTTATAAATAGTTTTTATTTAGATTCTTAATTAGCAATGATTGACTCTTTTATTTAAAAAGTAAAATAAATGAAGTCTAAATTGTTATGTAGCACCTGGTTCCCGGTATGTAAATCTTATTTGAGTATTTCCCATTTTAGCCTTGGACTCGGCGAGTCATAGGTCCGACTCGCCGAGTAGGGACGAGACTCAGGACACGTTTAAGTTGGCGACTCGGCGAGTCCATATCCTGGACTCGGCGAGTCACCGCTACTGGATGAAACCCTAAATTTCAAGGGTTTGCACCCTATTTAAACCCTCATTTCCGCCCCAAACTCGCCCCCATTCACCCTCAGAGCTCCCAACATCGTTTATACCCTTATTTCCTTGAGAGATTGAAGTGTTTTGGTGTGTTCTTGAAGATTTTGAGGAGAAAGAAGAGTAGATCAAGAAGAGGAGAAGGAGGCCAGGCATCTTTGTGTCATCTCAACGTTTTCCTTGAGGTATAGCTCGTTTCCCCTCTTTTTTCAAGCTTGTAGTCTCTTTTAGCTCCATGGAAGTCCTTCTTGAGTTTTTCCCCAAGCTTGTTTGTGCATTGTGGGTTGTAATATGTTGTTAGCTGTAACGCCCGGGTTTCAGGACTAAGCATTTTTATCAGTGTAATAGTCTAGGTCAACTATTGTAACTCTTTTTGAAGTAATAAATATGAAATATTTGAGTATTATGTGAATTATGTGTGTTTATGTGTTTATTATTTAATTATAAATGTATAATTAATAAAAAATAAAAAATGAGCGTCAAAATTAAAGTGTGAAATAATCCCGATATCTCTTCATAAAGTTGTAGAATATGTCTCAAGGTTTCCGTACATATAAAGAATGCCGAAATCCGAGCTATAACGAAGAAGTTATGGCCCGCCGAAGTTTTACGGCAAAACCGGCACGGCACCGGGAGACGTAAATAGTGAATTTACGATAGAAGACTTTTTAGCCTTAGCAATATAAACAAAAGTCGTAGAATATGTTAAACTAAGAACATCGATAAAAAGAACGCCCAAATCTGACTTCGTATGAAGAAGTTATGATTTTTCTAAGATTCGGCTTAGCAGTGCACGACCCGAAACTCGAATTTTAGTTCGAGCGGTTTTTGGCTTACGCGACCTAAATGAGAGTTGAAGATCTCATTGATAGGAACTCAACGGTAAAAAGACAGACGAAAACGGAGTCCGTATGAAGGAGTTATGAACTCTTCGCGGTCATTTAACAGTCTAAACGCCTCCTACTGTTAAATTTGAGATCGGTCGAGAATTAGCCGACGGAGTCTAAACGAAAGTTGTAGATCTTGATTTTACCTACGCGTGGATATAAATAACGTCAAAAACGGATCTCGTATGCAAAAGTTATGATTTTTCTAAGTTTGAAGGCTGATACGCAATAGGGGGTGACGTGGCACCACCAGAAGGCCACCACATGGACCAACTCATCGAGTCATGACTCAGACTCGACGAGTCCAGCAGAATTCTCCCTATAAATAGAGGTGCCGGGTTCCCTCATTTCCTCACCCCTCACCCATCTTCTTTCTCTCTCTAAACTCTCTCTCTAAGCTCCCTAACCCCCTAAAAGCCTATGTAAACCCCCTAGCACCCGAAGGAAGCCCCGAGGCTCCCGGAGTCCCGAGAAAAGAGCCTTTCGGCTCGGGAACGCTGCTCCAGCGAAGCCTGGTTTTCGAGAAAACCCGCTGTAAGTGAGCTACGCCTAACCTATCTTTAGTTTAGCTTATGTTTTAATATAGGAATGTTATTAGGTCCTTAAAACAATTATTTGGGCTATTATTATGAGTTATATTGAGTGTTATTAACGCTTATATAATAATAATAATAGTCAGACAATTAATTTGTCACAGTTATCATTAGACTAAACCCTAGTGGTATCGATACTAGGTTTTATCGAAGGAATATCATTTTGAGAGTAGCGAAGCGCTGTCCGAGTGCTGAGTCACCACCTAATCAGGTGAGTGCATAGTTACCTTCAACTTACACATAGATATGAAGTATTTTATATAAATTACGTGCTATGTGTGCATATTATCTGAATACTTGCTATCTATGCTAGATGAACGTTGTTATACATGTTTTCAATGATTTAAACTGTATATGTATTTTATATCTACGAAAATGTTGGGGTAAAACATGGGTAGATGTAATAGGTGATGTGTGATAAAATGATGAGAGGCCTCGATGTTGTTGTTGTTGATCCAGTCATCTAGCGGAGTATAGATGACGACCACAGACTCTTCTAGACAGTCCAGTGGAACACTAGCAGGCTCGCAACCTGTAGGTGTTGTGAACGATGTGTTCACCGGTGTACTCCATCCCCCACATGGTTGCCTATTAGGACATTTATTGCTGAGGAATCCCCTTAGCAGTAGTGTCCGTCCCGATAATAATCCTTAGGCTAGGTCCCTTATGATAGGTGTTTAGGGACGTAAAGTGAGGATAACGGGAACGGGTAATCGGGTTATTGTTGATTGATGAAATTAATAAACTTATTTATTGTGGGTTGAAAACCCTATGTGCTCACCAGGCTCCCAAGCCTGACCCACTCAGTTTTATGCATTACAGGTAGTGGCGCATGAGCATAGTTGTGATGTTTTGGACGAGGGATTACGGATATAGGCATGTAGATATGAAATAATGTAGTAAGGCTTATATTGTACTGTTTATACTTTTGATCTGTACGAACATGACATCCCGAGTCTTTTAATGAAATACATTTCTATGGAAATGCTTTTGATAAATCTTTATCATATTATTGTTTTGGGACAAATTCCGCAACCCTTTTTATTAAAAGATAACTCTGATTTTGAAATAAAGTATAAACAAAACCGGTCTTTTCTGGCCGTGATTTTGGGGATGTCACATTAGCCTTTAGATCTAGGCATGATTTAGTCCTTGGAGCTTGGATCTAATGCCTTTATGGGGTCATATTGCATGAAAGCCCTAGATCTACCTCTTTTGGTGCACTTTGAGCCCTAAAATCCATATTGGTGAATATCTACACGTAAAGTTGGAAACTTTACGTGTGATTCGTGTCTTAGAAGCCCAGATCTGTGAATGGCATGGACTGGAATCGAGCAAATCGGTGTATTTGATGGATGCATGGCGACGACTCGGCGAGTCTGCTCGCGAGTCACCGAATTGGTCCCTTTATGATGTATCGAGTTTGAGCCGTGAGTCACAGGGGGGTGACTCGGTGAGTTGGAAGCTGAACTCACCCATGTTAGGACTCGGCGAGTCAATGCCCTGAATCGGCGAGTCCAAGGCAATCTTCATAGATCAAGAACAGACTCGGCGAGTTGTTCATACAACTCGGCGAGTCTTAGCATAAGTGTTCTTCGGATGAAGATGAACTCGACGAGTTGTTCATACAACTCGGCGAGTAGGATGAAGGGCTTGAATGTCAGTTTAGAAGAAGAACTCGTCGAGTCATAACCTAACTCGACGAGTAGAAACAGGGACTCAGGACAATCGTCTGGATAGGGATTCGGCGAGTTGGAGAGCCAACTCGGCGAGTCGGGTCAACTGAAAGTTGACTCTGACTTTGACTTAGGGCCAGACCAGGGGTAAAATGGTCATTTTACCCAAAGGACAGTTAGCAGTGTTTGATTGAGTATGTTGTGGGAATTGCAGCCGGAGGATTTCCGGAGCAGCAGCAGCAGTCAGTTAGTTCCCGATCAGTTTAGCAGCTACTTTGAGGTTTGTTACCTTCCAGTAGTGGTGGGTCTAAGGCCATAATGCCGGCCCACCAGTAGGAGACGTATGATAGATGATTGTCTTTGTGATATCATCTGGGTTTGCTATTACCTGATATGTTATATGCTAGCATGATACGTTATATGCGATAATAGTAGAGTTCGGTTGTTAGGACCGATGGGTAGTCAGCACCCCAGAATGGCTTGATATGGGTAGTCAGCACCCCAGAATGGCTTGACACGGGTAGGACGGCACCCCAGAATGGCCGCATGGGTAGGTCGGCACCCCAGAATGGCCGTACCGGGTAGTCAGGCACCCCATAATAACCTGGCAGTATGCATGTTATGTGTTTGTATGGTATGTGGTACGTTGGGGGAACTCACTAAGCTTTGTGCTTACGTTTTACAGTTTTGTTTTCAGGTACCTCTTCACCGAAGGGGAAGGAGCTGGCGCGGTAGCGGCACGTCTTGCACACACTCTGGTTTCGGCATTTACGAGATTCACTGGGATTTGTACTCTGATATTTTGATGGGTTGTATGGTTTGGCTTTTAAACATGGTTTACGTTGTGTTATGGTGTGATCAAACAATGTTTTTATTTATTAATGTTTTCTAAAGTAATGTTTTAAAACGAAATTTTCGGACGTGACGTTACATGTTATGTATTGATAAAATGACTATTTTACACATTTTACCCCTATTATACTTATAAAAGTTTACCTTATTATACAAATGAAAATTGCTTTACATTTGAATTATATTGTTATAACTTGGTATATT